CGAAAGGAAAGGGGGAGGAAGGAAGGAAAGGAAAGGAAAGGAAAGAGGGAGGAAGGAAGGAAGGAAGGAAGGAAGGAAGGAAGGAAGGAAGGAAGGAAGGAAGGAAGGAAGGAAGGAAGGAAGGAAGGAAGGAAGGAAGGAAGGAAGGAAGGAAGGAAGGAAGGAAGGAAGGAAGGAAGGAAGGAAGGAAGGAAGGAAGGAAGGAAGGAAGGAAGGGGAGGGAAAGAGGGAGGAAGGAACGAACGAACGAATGAAAGGAAAGGGGAAGGAAGGAAAGGAAAGGAAAGGAAAGGAAAGGAAAGGAAAGGAAAGGAAAGGAAAGAGGGAGGAAGGAAGGAAGGAAGAAAGGAAAGACGGAAGGAGGGAGGGAGGAAGGAAGGAAACAAGAAAGCAGGCTGGGAAGATTGCTTAGTGGTCAAAGGACTTGGTGTGCAAGTGTGAGGACTGGAGTTCAGATCCCTAGAACCCACATATATGCCAGGTGGGCAATGGTAATCTGCCTGTGATTCCAGCCTCAGAAGGTAGAGACAGGGGATCCTCAGAGCAATCTGGATAGATGTCTAGTCGTGTGGGTGAATTATGGATTTGATTGAGAGACCCTGCTTCAATGAATAAGATGGAGGAGCAATGGAGACTTATTCCAGACATGAACTCATACACACCCACATACCTGTGTACCCACATACATACAGAGATGCATGCACACCACACACACACACAAAAATGGGGGAAATTTTTATATTATATTTAATATTGAGAAGTTCACAAAGTTACCAGTTTTAGTGCATTAGCCTTAATCTCTTTAAGAGAAGAAACATTTCTGTATACTTAAATAACTAGGTGTAGAAATGGGGTAGAGATGGGAGGACAGTAAGAGAAAGTGGTGAAGTGACCACTGTTTCTCAAATCTGGCATGAAATATGTGTGTGTGTGTGTGTGTGTGTGTGTGTGTGTGTGTGTAAGGAAATAAAAAAAACATTTGTTTATTTTCATAATTAAACAGGGTCTTTAAAAAAAAGATAACAAACCAATGAGTTTTCCTCTTCTATGCTGAGGAAATGATTTTATTACATAGCTAGATTTATAGCAGCTTAAAACATACTTAATATCTGGAAATTGTCATGAATCTATAATGTTAAATAATCTTACAAGTGTAGTGTTATTTTAACTATATCTCTTAATAAATAATTTGTTCTCATAAAGCTTAAGCTCTCATAAGTGCAAGTTTTTGATGCAACATGCCCCAAATGGTGGATCATAATAAAAGTTGTAAAAGGAAATATCTGAATTCTGAAATTTCTTCAGTTGTCACATGTTTGTTAATAATTTTATCATACTAAATCTTTTATGTTTTTGTTGGTCTACTCATAGTAAGGGTTATATATCAACTCTAAGAAAGACTGCATCCATATACTTTTGAAAAAATTTAAATTATGAGAAACTGACTTCACATAGCACTTCATAATTTCCCTCATCAAATCCTAAAGACTATATTAAAACATCTGTTTTTAAAATCTTGCTGACAGTAGAATGCTATATCCCTAGGGAGTTTCCTAATTTTGCATAAAATTTACATACTCATGCATAAATTAACATTGGGGGGATTAAGGATATCAATTAAAAAATGCAGGCATTTAATAATTGGTTTAGGGCAGAAAACAATACATATTTTTGAAAAATGATTTCCCTTTTGCAGGTATATTTAAATGAGAGTTTTTATAAGAATATCCATCACTCAGTTTACCCTAATTTACCTTTAAAATTCAAACATAGTTAAGATGCTTCAAAATTCACCATCATATATACTGCAAGTGTGTGCAAATTGTATTTAAAATCTGTCCTATAAGGTTGGCTCTAACACAAACTGGATAGCAAATGTATACATATTCTGATATTAGATATGGAGAGTTGGGTGGATCCCTATCTTCTCTTACTCTGACACAAAATAAACTTATAAACATGTAATTTTAGCAATCCATATAATTCATTAAATACCAAAACACTACAACACATATTCTTCATTCAGTTGACTAGGTACCCTCAATGTTGATCTGGGGAAAAAGAATCTTCTCCAATGTTTATTTTGTTCTCACACAAATCAAGGAAACAATGGGAAAATTACTCCAAATAGACAACTGTCAAATCTGTATGGCATCAGCATTATTAATTACCCATGTAATAGCTTGATTACGTTATTCCAGATCATTATCTTAATATGACTAGGAATTAATATCCTGATTCCCACTGACTTTCACTATCATATTCTGAACTGGTTGGAGTAGAGCAGGTAAGACCTTGACCAGTGTGGTTTCAGGGAAAACAGAATGATCACTATCCAAATTACCCTATGTCTTCTCTGGACAGTGCATAAAGTCATACAATTAGAGAAATATCTTTTATCTTCAATTAGTGTTGTTTAAATAAACAATAGTGGGTGATGTTAACATATGAAACTATCCATCATTCATAATCTAGTGAAGGAATGCTTTACTTGGTACTCATGTGCCACAGATAAGATTTACAGAAATAATAACCTTTCATATACTATAGTCAAGATTTTATTTAAATTCATTTTGATATCTTCCCAAGCAAGAATACACGCACACACACAACACACACACACACACACACACACACACGAGAATCAATGCTTTTACTGTGAATAAAGTCCTTAAGAACAAGAATGGAGGAGGCTTAGAGAGAGAGAATGAAAACTAAGCAAGATATAACATGACAGAGATTGTGAAATGACTACAGGGGGGAAAGAAGGCAAATAAAACAGATCATTGGAATCCATAGCATCAACTTTATTGGTTTTGAAATTTAACTCAACCTAGACAGAGAGAAACATGAATTCATTGATTCAACTTGCCTTCCCAAATAATGGCTCTTCATCTGTATTTTTTTCTTACTTACATTTGATAAATGCCTCTTTATAAGGATCCATGTAGACTCACCCAGAACATCAACTAAACCAATAAAGAATTGGATCCCAAAGGACTGAACCCTGGCCAGTGGTATTGTCTGTTGTTATAGTAGTTTGTTCATAACAGGAAACTAAACAAAGAAAAGAAAGCTTATTAAAATTATTTTAATAAACAGGTTATTAATAGCATCAAGTAATGAGTAAAAGGAAATCATATGGGCATAAAACTTTCTATTCTTGGTCTGCTCTAATCCTCCAGTCCCTTGATGACACAAGACGAACGCTGTTACCTTCTTGTTTGGATCCTCTAAGTCCTACTCAGCATAACCAGTAAAATACCTGAGATCAGTGTTAATGGACTCAATTAAATAATTACATGCAGCCCCAGGAATCATTGTAGAAAGGGAGGCAAGATATATTGATTAGCTTAGCCAATCATGGACTACTCTTGTGCTTTAGGATTGGATTAATCTGATCCACCTACATGGAGAGAATAGAGAGTGAGCCACCAAAGCAATCTGTTATTTTTCACCAGAAAAGAGGGACAAATATATACTAGCTACCAAACAGCAGCTTTCCACCAAACCACATAATAAAGAAATGAAAAATAGCTCTTAAAGTGTCTTTATGTCCATCAGCAGAATATCAGATTCCAAATGAAGAAGCAAGGCATTGACCAAATCATAGCATTAGATCTGGGGGCAGAATGAAAAGAGCAGAGCAGATCTGAAACAGCAGTTTTCTGAGTAATGATTAATGGCTTCCTGTTTTAATTTGTGGTCAAGAAGCATTGCTGCATGGTAGGTGAGGCGATATTAAAGATACAGGAGCAAATATTTATGTCTAGACCCATCTACTAGTAGAAGCCAGAGGATCAGCATCTGTGGCACAGTGCAGCCCTCTCAGGGCAGTGTAGGAAGAGCCTGTTGAGACCTGACCGTACTGTGCAGTGCAGTCCACAAAGGAACCCAGAGCTTGCAGAGCCAGATCTTCAGTCCTTGGCAGTAAACAGACTTGCCCACTGCTCTGAGGATGCTTTCTGCCTCCTTAGGATGTTCTTTACTACCAACAAAATCTTCATAAGACAGCACAGAACAAAGGCGGCCAGTTTATCAATCTGCAACCAGTGCAGAAACATGAGAGACCCAAGAAAACTTGTCTCTCAACATTCTTCTCGGCACTTTCACAAAAACTTATTTCTACAAGTCAAAGTCACCATCTAATCCTAAATGAGAATGGAAAGAGGCTTGGAGATTGAGGAGAAAGTAAGAAAGAATAATCCCAGTTATTGGCAATTTCTCTTGTTTGATTTTCCAAGGGGGAGATTCCATAGCAATAAGCAGATATCTTTTAGAGGAAGAAGGCTTTGTAACACTTATTTACTTTTGAAATACCTGTTATTGATCCAGGCTCTGAGTGAGTTCAATTATTAGTGTTTACTCTGCCTACGGGACAACACTGTTTGATAGGCAAGTATTTTATGCTATTTTATGGGTAAAACTGAGACACAGAGAGGTTGAGTTACTTATTCAAGGCCACACAGGTTGTACCTGAAAGAGTCAATTACATGGTAACATCATTAGTAACAGAGAAATATAATTTGTTGCATGATTACAAATATATGTAATTCAACTCTTAACACATACATATTTCTATATATGTATATATGCACATAGGATAATAATTGTTAGATACATACTTTGATGAATTTGAGGAAATTATTTTATAATAGTTTTATTTCATACCAGCACAAAATTTTCAAAAGATAAATCCTTAAGTTGTTACTCAGGATTGTTTCCTTTTTGATAAGAATATTAGCCACATTATTTAAATACTGCAACAACGTTTGAAAAGATTATTGAGTCAAATGTTTTTGTATTTTTATGAACCACTTCAGAATATTCTTTTTTTCTAACAGAGACAGTGTGATGTGAATGCAGTCCCTCACTACCACAAATTATGTAGTCGAGTTTCCCACTTTGGGGGAAATCTCAGGGGTCAGCACATCTGGAATGCAATGGTAAGCCTTGCCCTGAGAAAACCACCTTTGTGATCATGGTATCTCCCCCTCCAGGTAAGTATATATTCTAATCGTAGTCACTTCCTCAATAAAGTAAGGAGTTTTCACTAAACTGAAAAATTGAGATCATTTTATAAGTGAGATTATTTCTATTTTTATTATTTAACTACAGGATGTTAATCATCTGATACAATGAAGACTTATAAAAAATAAGTATATTCAAATCATTTGACAAGTGTCTACAAAGAGGGCAGATAAAAGCTCTTCAAGTGGGGGTATTTTAATATATATCTGAGACGCAAGCTTGTCACAGACTGTCATAGCCGTGTGTTCTGTTTTAATCTGTAACACGGTAGCAGATTGTCAAAGGGGTTAAAGATGATGTCGGCCATGCCTCCTTTCAGCTCTCGAGAGTGTGGTAAAATGTATTATTTGGCATAGTCGTGACACAGATCTGCATGTGCATGTCTTCAATAATTCATGTTGCAGGTTGTCTCACTGTGGGGACAGATGTCAGTGAAACCCGTGACAGCCGATCATGCTGATCCCACATGCAGTCACGTGGGGCTGATCCCACAGTGACACTGAGCTTGCTGGGGTGCCCACACAGCTCCAACTTGAGCTGAGAAAACACAGTGCAGCAAATTTGGTTCTAGAGATTCATTGCATCACTAAGAGAAGTATGCATGTTTGCATGTGTCCATGTTTTCATATAGTTTCTTAAAGATTTGGAAATTTTTATAACTTAGACTGGATATATATGGGAATATTCCTGATCCTTGAATGTCATATGTACTAGGTAATTAAAAATATATACACAAGGCCGGGCGTGGTGGCGCACGCCTTTAATCCCAGCACTTGGGAGGCAGAGGCAGGTGGATCCCTGTGAGTTTGAGGCCAGCCTGGGTTGTATAGCAAGTTCCAGGTCAGCTGGGGCTACAGGGAGACCCTGTCTGAAAAAAGACCAAAAAAAAGAAAGGATATATACACAAAATATTTCTGAGAAAATCAATTCTTTGTGATAATGTATAGAAATATATATGTCTCCTAAAGGTGATTGAATATATTACCAATCTTGACTAATTTTTATTACTAATGCATGATATTGATATGTAACAAATGTGAGACATTCAGAAGATCTAAAAAGTCATTTTGACCTTGACAACTTATCTTTGCTTCTCATCAAGAAGAGTATTTTTCAAACTGGGTATGGTGTCATACACCTTTAATCTCAGCACTCAGGAGGCAGAGGCAGGTGGATCTCTGTGAGACCCTGAGATTATAGATCAGGCCAGCCTGGTCTCCATAGCAAATCCAGGTCAGCTGGAGCTACAGAGGGACTCTGTCTCAAAAAGACCATAAAAATAATTTTATTTTAATATTAAACATCAATCAACAACAATCAGATATTATAAGAACAGTACAAATACTTTTCAATAAATGTCCATGAACATTAGTTAGAATATAGACTATAAAGTGTTCACAAGAATACAGAAACTTCTACCCAGATTAGCCTAATGCTTATACATTTGCCTATAACAAGTTTCAAAGCAAAGGGGCTAAGATAAGAAAATATAGCTGGAGAAGTTCATGTCCACTGCTTCTAGATCAAAGCCGTCACCTTCTGTTTATACATAAAGAAAAACCAAGCAAGCGGTACCTAAGCCCTTTAAAAAACGCAAGTGCTATATAGTATTTCTGAGTCCCAATATGAGTTCTGCTTATCCATTTCTTGAATAATATGAGAAAAAATGTCAAGTTCTATTTATAATCTGCGGCTTCTCAAATAACAAAGAAATATTATGTATATATGTCCGTGGCTAAATATGTGTGCACATGAGCACACACATATACATACATATTAAATATTCAAAATATTAGCATTGATACATTGTATTTTTAGCTTCATGCTATGTTCTTTTCCCATTTTTGACATAATTTTTTTTTTTTTTAGACAGAGTCTGACTCAATAGCCCTGGCTGGCCTGGAACTCATTATGCAGACCCAGCTGACCTCAAACTCACAGATATCTTCTTGCCTCTGCCTCCCAAGTTCTGGGATTAAAGGCCTGATAAAACACTCAGCCTAGACATAGGCATTTTAGTTAGTTTTTAAGTCATTTCATTATTTTTGATGATTTTATGCTTTGAAGAGGAGTGGCTTGCTTATTACTAAGGGCTCCCTAATATGTTCCATTCTAAAATCAATACATTTAGGAGAAGGTATTGTTGATCTGGAAATGGTAGCTCATGCCTGTAATCCCAGAGCTTGGGAGGCTGTCAGAAGAGGTTGTTGCAAGTTCAAGGCCACCTGGGGCTACATAGTGAGTGACTGAGTTCTAAACCAGTCTAGCTACCTGTCTACAAAGAGAGAGACTGTCAAAAAAAAGTCCGAAAAAAAGAAATATAGAAAAAAGATAGTGGTTTTTCTTTTTCACAGGATTCGACTCTTTTTGAGGCATACTGTGACTAAGCTAGGGAATTTGATCAATACTACCATATAAACTTGTCGTCCAACACTGGATACCATTTTTCTTTGGAGGTAACTTTACATAAACATTTCTAATCACAACTCTGTAAAGAGACATGGTATAATAATTCATGACTTTTAGGTAATATGTCATATGAATCTTAACATATGGCATTGCACTCTACAATGGCAATCTTGGCTTCCAAAGGGACCTGGAAAACATCCAGTGAGAAGAGAATAAGCCAAACTTGATAGAAAACCATATCGATGCTAATCCAGGTTTACACCTTTCGTTCAGACTTGGAACTCTCTAGCAGATGGTTCAGTGTTGAAGCCCTAATGTTAGCAAAATGTCAAAACTATTTTGCTAGACTCCCCAATTGTTCATACAGAGTATTTTTCAAGTGCTGGATATCAAAATAGCATTAATGAATCATAGCATCCAGGTCTCTGATCACAAGTGCAGGGTTTTAGTTTCAATTTCCAAAGACAATCTGGCTTCACTTTCTTGGAGTATAGCCAACCAGCTTTTACAAAAGAAAATCAAATTTTAGAAATTTCTTCCCTGATTCTTTAGTTAACAAGGACCTGCTCAGAGAAGACAAAAGCAGGCAAGAACCATTTGGCAGACTGCATTATTAGTAGCTGCTATATCATTTTAGTAATCCAAACACATGCCATAAGACAGACTCGCTAAATGAACGTTTTTAATCCTGAAATTCATAGACATAGGGAAAAATACTGAATTGATCTAGAGTCGACAGTTATCAGAACCTGGAGGCAGACATGTGAGAGAGCTGTATGGGCACCTTTCCTTTGTTCACGTGTCTACGTGTGGAATATTCACAGTGAATGAAGGTATAAGTGAATGGTCCCTCATGTCACAAGGTATAGCTTCAGAGTGTAAGGACAGAATTTACTTTTGTAAAATAGCAGTGGCCATATCTGCATCTAGACAAATACATATTTAAGCATTATTGCCTAATGTCTATTAGTACCTGTTTTGTCTTTAATATAATTTTCCTTCTAATATTCGTAAGGTTGTATGAAATAAGGAATCACTGCCTGTTTTGTAAAGATCTAATTATGAATGTCCTAAGAGGTTTATCTGAGCTTTCCAAACTACTTCAGAATTAGCCTTCCCAACTCCAACTCCCATTCCTTTTCTTTTATGTCACACTTACACCTTTAATAATGTTTTCTACATGAAACGCAACCACATAATATTCCCAACAGCTTCAAATAGTTACTCAAGCCTGTGATTGCATAAGAAGATATACAAACTGTATAAATGTGTACAATTATTATGTTGTTAATCAAAAATAAAAGTGCTTAAAGGAAAAGAGTGTTGACCACTCCAATTTAATCATTACATACTGTATACATGTATCAAATTTTATTGTACCTACTAAATTATTGTAATTAAAACTTTAGAAATAAAAGACATGCAAGTAAGGATTCACCCTCCTGTAACATTATTTCCCTCTAAATGCCTACATGTAAATCTATAAAGACATGAATATTATCCTCAGAATCATGTCTTTGTTTGAAAATATCTTCTAGCAGCCAGTATAATATAATGACTATAGCCATAGTAACTGATAAAAGTGAGGCATTTTAGAACATCTGTTCCAATCCTGCTCATTAGGTCAAAGCACAGCAGGTAGGACCTGTAAGTGTAGCAGTCTGTGAGTCAGTTCATATCAAGGTAACTATTTGTCCTGTCCTCTAGTAATTTATATTCCCAAGAGTGAAGTCATTGATAGAAAGACTTAGGAGGCTAGGGCAGGTCAAAACCCAGTAATGATCAGCAAAACTTACCTGGGAAATTTGAGAGAGCTGTAAAGAGATGCCATGTCCATATCACATCAAACCACCCAAAATCAGTCTGGTACATTAGACCTATACAAGGTGTCTCAGTTATGTGCTATTTCCTGAGGATTAAGCTAGACTGGCAACATTTTTTCCACTATGTAATTTTTATGGGTGTGACTTCTTAATCATTTTCCTCATTTCTAAATTCTAATTTACTTTTCTGTGTCTCTTATGATTAATCATAGTTTTATTTTCATTTTTGTTCATCATCAATTGTGTTGCTGAAGACTGTCCATATTTCTTTAATGTTATGACAGGAATTCTTTGCTGAAACTTAAAAAACAAACAAGAATGAAACAAGCTAAGAGAATAGCACTGCGTTCCATTTTGTTCATTTAAAATATGTTACAAAACAGCTTTCAGTTTAAGAAATTTTGACAGTGTGTATTCAATTTTTCAACTAACAGATGCACGTACATAAAATTATATGATTGAAATTCAGTGTCAGAGGCTTTAGTCATTTAATCTGGGCCAACTCGTGGCATTGGTTTATAATATTACTCTTGAAATATCTGTATTTTTCTAATGGGAGAATGAATGTGTGCAAAATGATAATACAGAAGTGTTTTAAGAAGAAAAGTATTAGGATTTGTTTTTAAATGAAAATTATTTTCCTTTTTAAAGAAATAAGGTCTTAAAATCAATCAGTGTATGGCTATTCAGTGAGAAAAAGAATAAATTCAGAGATTTTCATTCTAACATCTCAGCCTAGGTCTTA